AGTAATTGCAAGTCATGCAAGTTAGCTTCTTACCCAAGTTCAACGTGGACCTGTGAAACTGATAGAATCTCTGCCCGCTTCTAGCTATTGTGGAAAAAAGTAAGGTTCCGGTATGGCAGGCATGCCAGTGTTAAATGGACTCTGTGAACTGTAACATTTTTGTCCTCCCGTTGCCATGACTTGTACAAATAAACTAAGATAAGGCTGTCTGGTTCCAGCAGTTCTGACGGATGATAAGAAAAACGGTAGTGCTGGAAAATCTGCAAGTTGAAGGGAAAACTGTTGACATTTAATTAATAAATGTTTAATGACTACCCAGACGAGGCTTCTGTCTCCTGTGGATGTGCGTCCACTGAACACTCAGAGGCCGTGTTACTCCGTGTGTCATGAGGAACGATTCATCACGCTGTTAGCCTTTATTTGTGGACCGTGGCTTCCTTGAGGGGTGTTTTAAAACTGACATGACTGAAGTGGCCTGCAGGGCACATGGCCGCCGTGGTTCTCATGGGAGTTCTGGAAGGGGGAGGGAGGACTGAACTCGCCCGGGCCCTCCTCGGGGTGCTCGCCGTGGTGGGCGATGCGGATTGCAGAGCGTGTGCCCTTCCACTCGGGTAATGGGCAGAACGCTTTCACGGAGCGGGAAGGGAGCTGGCCCGAGTGATCTACACCGCCTCTGTTGTCTCCCAGCTGTTAAACCAGTCTCATCGTGGTGCTCGGCGTTCTGGCCGTAGCTCGTTTCAGGGTCTGTGCGCTTTAGAATGTCGGTGGCTGTTTGCTGGCATGAAGGGCGTTGCTGGGTTTGGTTTTAAATGATGCCTGTGCGCATGCTGCCTTTGAGTGCTTTCCTGTCTGGAGAACAGGACGCTCACTTCGTGGAGGGTGGGACATGGGTCACCAGTGAGTGTCCTCTCCCCCAGGTAGGAAAGCCCTGGGCGGCAGCCTTTTCTTCCGGAGTGGGGAGGTAAGACGCAGAGATGCAGCCCGTGGCACGTGTGAGGTAGCCCAGGGAGGCAGTGCGGCAGGACATTCATTACTTGGACAACCACTCACAGCAGGCTGGAGAGAAGCACATTTCAGAGAGACTGGCAGTCAGGGTGCTTTCGGGAGACGGAATTCCTGGTGTGCACAGTGGTTGGGAAGAGAGGAGGTCTCTGGTGCCTGTCCCCGGTAGGTGCTGTCACAGGGCTGACTGGCAGCAAGCAGTGCATGTAGTGGGTGCTGGTGTGCCTTTCCTGGGCAAGTGCAGCCGCGAGAAAGGGTTACAGGCTGGCCTGGGAGGCAGGGGAGGGCTGACTGGGAGTCTGGGAGTTAGCAAACACCCAGACAAAACGGGTGCCAGGAGAGGCCACTTTCGCTCTCTCAAGGTTGAGAGAGAAAAATAAGCCAGACTGAAGAGCCTCAGAGGCAAAGCTAAAGAATTTAAATTTCATCACCGACGATTTTGGAGTCTCGGCCTCCTCCACTTAGAAACTGATGAAGGTGATTAGAGTTGTTCGGGACATTCTGGAATCTAGGCATGGAAGCAGGTGCCCAGGTAGGAGGAGTGGATGAGCCCGGTCTCGATATTTGGAGGTGTAGAAGTTAAAGCAAGTGAAGGAATTATTAATAATTATAATTTAATCCCCAAATGGTAGTAAAAAATTAGGTATCTGATGCTTTTAGTCCGCAGGTATTCAAGGGCACCAATTCTGTATGTTGTTAGGTAGTGGATTACACAAAAGAAAGAGAACCTATGTATGGTCTCTGCCCGCATGGAATGTATATTTAACGGAGTAAGACAGTAAGTTTACACACACACACATGCTTGGAAGGCTGGGGCAGGATGGGGCACTGAGTTCAAGGCTGGCCTGAGCTACGCGGGTTCATAACCAGCCTGGACAACATAGCCTGTCTCAAAAGAAACAACAAAAAGGAGAGCAATGGGGAGAGATGCAGGTGTGCTTTGGAGGCAGAGGAAAGAGCTCTTGTCAAGGTGATAGGTGTGGGTTGTAAGAGCCCAGGATCAAGGAATATGATTAGTATAGTCCTGTATGGATTAGTAATTCTGTTCCTGGAAAGATGCAGATCCTGTCTGTATTATAGAGAGATACACCTCCCAGCAGAGACACCAACCTTACCTTCGTGGCAAGAGGCTGAGCTGGGAATCCCGGCTGGGGCTTGGTGACTTGTGGAGGAACCAAGCTGTGTGAGCCAACAGCAGCCCTGGGTGATGTTCCAGGCTGTAGGTGAGCAAGGGGGGACTGTCGTGTCATCCTCAGAAGAGCCAGGTGCAAGCAGGGAAGCCAGACTGGTCATTCTTGTTTGGACCTTCAGGTGAGGTGCCCGTTAGGCCTCCTGGAGATGACTCGTGGGAGGCAGGCGAACATGGACTTCCGCAGGGCGGGCTCTCCGGGCCGTTGCCAGTTTTGAGTTTGCAATGTCAGGGTGACAATCAAGTGAAGCCATGAAGTTGTTTAGTGACAGTGACTTAGATGAAAGGCCCGGACTGGGAAGCCATTCTGCCGAGAGGAAGACAGGGAACTCTGAGGGGCATCACGAAGGCTGCGGCTGGCCCTCGGCCTCCAGGTGGGGCGATGCACCCACCAGGCAGCCAGCAGGAGCAGGGAGGCAGATGGGCTCGGGTGTCGGTGATCGGGTCTCGGGGTGAGGGAGGGCTGCTGGGCTCACGAGTCTCCCAGAGGGAACCGTGACGTGGTTGTCATTTCATGGAGTTAGAAATATAAATTGTAAAAACATCCGTGGAAAGTGGGGAGCGATGGGGCCAAGTGTGGGTCTTTCAAAATAGGGTGAGTCTGTGACTGTCCAGGCAGATGGGGCCTGTGGGGGAGGGAGAGTTGATGGTAGGAGCAGGACAGGTGCTGAGCAGGTCATGGGCTCTGGAGAATCCATCTGGAGGATGCAGTGAGGAAGGGACTGGGAATAAAAAGGAGGATGCTTATGGGTTTAAGGCAGAGCGGGAAGGAAAGAGTAGGTATTAGAAGCAAGCGTTTTGCGTGACAGCAAGAGGAGAGAGAGTGTTTTATCTTTCAGTAAAATGTTGGTGAGTATCACCTGCTTTAAGGTCACCATTGCTATTAAAGGCCCAACGAAAGTGTGACAGGAACTAACAAGAAATTGTCAAGAGACAGCGGGAGTGTGATATTCTCTTAACTGCCGATCAGTACCCTGCAGCCTAAGCATGAAGGGCTCTGGGGATGTGGAAGTGACAGGCGAAGAGGGAGAGGAGTGGAAGACCTCTGCAGCGGAGGTCCGTACCCTAGGAGCAAATCAGCCACCTGGAGGCGAAAGCCAAACAGCCCAATCCTGTGTTTACCTCCTGCCTAGAAGGTGTGGGTTTGCAGTGCAGGGGTCCAACAACTGGACCAGGAGAGATGCTGGTAAATGTCAGGACAGCCTGCGTGACACGGAGTCCTGCACTCTTACGGGGACCAATTAGGGCTTCGGATTCTGGGCAGGGCCGGGCAGGAATCCAGTGGGCCGGAAGGATGGAGGTGAGGTGGCTTGGAAGAGATGCTTCACGTGCAGTGAGTGGGGGCCTCCGGGGGTGCACAGCCCTGATAGCTGGGTGGCTGAGCGCTCACACTCATGAACCGCCGAGAGACCTAATGCATCCAGCGGAGCCACTCCCACAGAGCAGCCTGTGGGCCAGTTTCTATGAAACACACTTGAAAATGCTGGGTCAGAGGAGCCCAGCAATCGTCAGCTCATGGTGTACCTGTCCCCAGGTTGTGTGAAAGGGAAACTCGGGCAAAGGGGGATCCCCGTGTTCAGATCTTTTTTCCTTTTTGCAGCACCAGAGATGGAACCCAGGGCCTTTGTACTCAGCTATCTTTCCAGCCTTTTTGTTTTTACTTTTTTGCAGTACCAGGGATCGAACTCAGACCCTTGTTCTTGCCAGGCAGGTGCTGCACCACTGAGCTACGCCCCCAGCCCTATTTTTGAGACAGACAAGTTCTCACTAGATTACCTAAATGGGACTCAAAATTGCAACCCTCCTGCCTCAGGCTCCCTCAGTGCTGGGATTACAGGCACGCACCACTACACCCAGCTCTGGTTTCAGATATAGAAGCACAGCAGCAGGACCGTGGCTTTATTTTGTGGCATCCCAAGTTACTTTCCATCCCTCCAATTAGAATTCCTTTTTCTGCCATTGAGTCCAGTATTAGTTGTGGCACCGGTATGAATGTTGAAGTTGCCAAATGTGAGACAAAATTGGGAATGTATGAAATGTTTACAAACAGATGATCGATAGTGGGGTTTTTCATAAGTAGAGTTGGATAAAGTCTTTATGAAAGCAACCAAAAAACGAGTGCCTTTGAGGACGAGTAGCATTGTCCCTTTCATTGTAAAAACAAGAAAGTGCTTACCTGTTAAGCTATTCACTGAGTCTTGACCCACCCAGTGACGGCGACCTGATATTTGGGAGTTTACCCACCTTTTAAGCAGTGCGATGGCTTCTGAGAAAGGCCCCAGTTGTCACCATCTGGGCACTGAACTGCACTCCTGGGAAGGACAGTACAGCCCCTTGTCCCCATTGTCAAGTTTAAGACAACAAACACTGACTTCTGTCCCTTAAGATGCAAGGAGGCCCACGATTGGTGGGGACAGTGATGGCTGGCAGGGGCTACACACTTATGTAGCATGATTGTTTTGAATAAGGATGTGACGTGGATTTGATCAGTGTACAGACTTGGCCACAGTACTGAGCCACACTACGCTAGAAGAGTTGTAAAGTGACCCCAAGTGCAGACATCTCAGACTGCGCCTATCACATTGTGCTGGCGGACAGCATTGCTTCGCTCCTTCCCCGTGTACACCTTCATGCATTTCCCATCGCCACGTGTGGGACACGCCACGTGTGCCCTTTTGGTTTTGGAAGTGCACTCGGGATAACTCACGTGATGGGCTGAGTGTTCAAAGTGTGTGGAAACGCTTCCGGGATCACGGGGGCATGCACTGTGTGTTCACCTGCGGAGCTCTGAACTTTCTTTTCTTTGCAGGTCAAGTCAGTGATAAACCTTTTGTTTGCTGCGTACACTGGAGATGTGTCCGCTCTTCGAAGGTATGGTAACAGGTGGGCCAGCATGTGGTTGGCAGGCACCTAGCAGATTCCTTCGGGGCAAGCACATGCTAAGGTTCACGGCCACTGCCCTCCAGTAAAAGTGATCTAAATAATCTGTATTATATCCGCAGCTCCAGTGCCAAAGGCCCACTATTGAGTCTTGTCCTTTCTCTCTCCTGTAAAAGCCCAGATTTCTCCTTCCCCAGGGGGAAGTGGCCAACTAGTATTAATGGTTTGCTCTGTCGGGACACATTCAGTGTCCAGCAGATCACCAGGATTAGAAAGGCTATATTCTTCCATTTCACCAATATAAGGTGCTTGTGTAAGGTTGCCCCTGACCTTTCAAGTGCAAAGTATCTAGGCTCCATTTCCATGCTTGTTTTGGTACCAGGGATCAAACTCGGGACCTTGAACTTGTGAGGCAGGCGGCAGAACCACTGAGCTAAATCCCAGCCCATTTCCATGCTTGTTGCAAGCCTACTTAGTACACACAAACTACGGATTGTGAAATTCGTTTACACAGTGGGAGACTTCGTGAAAACACGTCGTGTACTTAAGATACCAGCTTCTTGCCCTTCTGAGACCTTGCCCCTAAACCCTGGCAGTTGTGCCGCTGTTCTGGAGTTTGAATGAGAGGTGGTTAGTACTTCGTCTTACCCCAGTAATAGCGAAGCTAAGGAATGGAGGTGAAGTGGCATCTCCCCAGGCAGGCAGGACACCTGTGTCCCGGGCCCATGGGGCTGTAGTTACCAGTCTGGAACGAGGTGAGGATCGGCACCCCTGGGGCCCTTGGCCTGTAGTGACAGAGTAAACACTGCGGGTGTGAATGAAATTCACTGCGTAACCAATGACTGCGCTTACGGATTTCCAGATTTGCATTGTCGGCCATGGACATGGAACAGCGGGACTATGATTCCAGAACAGCACTGCACGTCGCTGCCGCAGAGGGTAATACGTAAAAGCCACTCCTGGTTTCTTCCCCAGACTTTGTTTCTACTCGAAACTAAAATCTTTTTTTGTTTTGGGTGGGTATAGGTCACGTGGAAGTTGTTAAATTTTTGCTGGAAGCTTGCAAAGTCAATCCTTTCCCCAAAGACAGGTGAGCGTTTATCTTGCCTTCTAATGTGATTGGCGGGGCAGGGTTTATGATGCAGGGCTGGAGTGTTCGTGAGTGTGGTACCCACACCACCGCGGCGTTCCTGAATGTTACGGTGCCTTCAGACTGCAGAGTTTATTCCGTCTCCCGAATCCTGTCTCTTAACTAGGGGCCATGTATCGTTCGAAAGTTTTCAGCTTTGCCTATCAGTCAACACACTGGGGGTGAAGACAGGTCTTTGTGTGTGGAAAGAGAATGTGGGATTTCTGTCCTCATGGGGCTTTTAACTACGTACCCAGCAGATAAGGTGAACATGTACAGAAACACACGTGTAAGAACTTGAGTAGCTTGGATTTTGTTGAAATCCCTGGATTTAGGTGGAATCCGTTTTACGTGACTGTGGAGGCTGAATCTTAACGAGTGCCTTGGGAAAGAATGAGATCGGAGGGCATGGATGAAAAGGGCATTCTGTGAGCAGCAGGCAGGGTGCAGCCTGTGCCCTTCTCCCCCTCCTGGGGTTCACATAGCAAACTGACACATCTGTAGCAAAAGCTGTCCAGTGGCCAGGGTGGCTGCCAGGCCACTGTGCGGTGACCTCTGCCCTCATGTGCCTGGACATTTCGTGTTGGTGTGGCGGGGATGAGCCAGGCAGGAGAACAAAGGTTTCAGAGAATTTACAAGGAGAAAATGCTTGATGGGGGCGGGGGGGTCTGACAGGTAGGACTGTGGGGTTAGAGTTGAGAAATGGGAGCTGCTCTGAGTTTGGAGCAACTTGATTACTCTCTAGCATTTAGTCTATCAAGTTGTAACTATTTTCGTTTTCAATGGAGACCTGGGGTCTTAATGGTTCACCGTTCAAGAAATGAGAAGTTACAGTGCCAGTGCCTGAGAAGCAGTTAGCCATTTTGTGAGCGTGGTAACAATTTGATTACCTGACATCATCTCTGTAATTGTTAAAAAGAACCGTGATTAGAATGACCTTATTCCAAACCTCACTTGGTTGTCAGCCCGCTTCTCAGGAATGCTCATCGGCTCTTTTTAGAGCAAGGAAGTGTACAGTGTGTTTCCAGTTCGACTAAAGCGGTATTAAATACACACAGAAAATACTGTACCTACTGTGCTTTGAATTTGAAACTCCCGCCCCCAAAACTTGCCTCTATGATTGTGGAAGTAAAAATACCATGTAATGGGCAAAGTTAGGTAGCTAAGTAACTAACTTGGTAATGGCATCTTCGTTCATTGCCAGAAGAGAAGCTGGAAACCCAAGATAATTCTTTTTATTTCATAGAAAACTAACTTGCAGTTGGCACCAGCTATTTACAGAAACTCACATAATCACTTGCTGTTGACGATGACGAAAAGTCCCTGTGTAAAACCGCTGACTCCCTAAACTAATGCAGGCCTTTAGAGAAGCAAACGCCACCAATTCTGCCACCTTCTGGGAAACACAGATACTCATAAAGTGTTACTTACCTGATTTTAAAAATTAAGGTTACCAAAAACGTTAAGAATTTTAAAACACCTCTTGATTCCATACTGTGACCCCAATAAGAGGCTAAAAGGTTGAGACGGAAAAGAAAGGACACAGGGAGGGGCCAGAGGGTGACCAGGAGCCCAGGAATATGAACCCAGCAGCTACAAGAAGCCAGCGAGCGAGCATCTAGAGTGGAAAGTTTTAGGGAACCCAGGTTCACCCTGTCATTGACTGGACCCCCGGCTTTTGTGGGGCTGTCGTTTTTAACTGCAGTCTTCACCTTCCTCACCGAGTGCGGAAGTAAAGTTAGTCTTCCCGTCAGCAGTGGTCCGGCGAGGGTACCACTTTCCATCCAGGCTGCAGACGATGAAAACATTGCTTCCTGCAGCCCGTCTTGGCCCTGCAGTGTGTTTAAGCCCTCGTGACATCGTGATCGTTTTCAGACTCCTGAGATTTAATGTGATCTTTGAGTTGATGGGGTCACAAAGTTTTTGTCAGAGGCTAGGATGATGCAGGTTATTTACCTGATTTTTCTTTTAACATTTTCTTTTAAGAGAGATCCATTAGGCTTTTCATGGAGCTACAAATTCAGGAACCCTAGATGTGTCTGTTACACCTGTCTGTAATAGGACTTCTCTTATATAACGATCCTGGACAAGCACTTGGAGTGCGAACAAGAGCCTCTATGGAGATCCTTTTCCTCCTTACATCCCAGCTGATCTCTGAGACCACTTTTTGAATTATAAACCCCTTTCTGCATTTTCTAATTTACTCTTAGTGGCTGAATCTGGATGGCCATTTAGCCTGCACTGAAACGCAGGGATGCAGGGTGCTCACTCCCATCCTCCTGTGTCACTCGTTTAGGTGGAATAACACTCCCATGGATGAAGCACTCCACTTTGGACACCACGACGTATTTAAAATCCTCCAGGAGTACCAGACCCAGTACACACCCCACGGAGATTCCAGCGAAGGGAAGGAAAACCAAACCGTCCACAAGAATCTTGATGGACTGCTATAAAGGTCTTAAATCCCGAGGTTTAAGTCACTTACCTATTTAATCGTGGAAAATGATTAGGAAGAACTTGTGTATTTCTATCTGGTAGTGATGCATATTTTACAACATTTGTTCATTTCAGTGTTACCGGAGTTTTCTTCATTGTGCGCACAGGACAAATCTGATCTCTTTGGGGAAAAAATAGAAATAAAACAATCTCCCTCCATAATGTGAGCAATATTTACCTCGTGCATTGTACAATTTGATGTAAAAGAAGTAGTTACCGATGCTAGCTTAACCGTGTGGTCTTCCCGACTTGTGTGTGTTGTGAGCTTTCAGTTTCTGGTGATAATCAGATTGCATCTATAAATTAAACTCTGTCATACAGTCTCTCCTGAGGGGTCGAGGCTGTCTTTAGACAAACCGTGTGATTTTCAAGACTTCAAATATAGATTTAGTTTGAGTGTTTGAACAACAATATGCACTTAGGGTTGAATGTTTAAATTATCTATCACCCTCAATTCACAATGTGACTTTAAATATATAATAGTTAACTGTAAGTAGGATAAGTAAATTCAGATTACTTTATCAGGGAATCTGTTTAAGATGTTTGGTGACCAAAATACATGTGTGAATATAGTTATACTTTTGAAAAACTTTCCTTTTTCTATGTCCCCTTAGTCCAGCCCCTGTGCTCAGGCGTTAGCTATCTGCCTCTTCCCTCTGGCCGGGACAGGGAGTGCTGGCGAACTATGCAGTTTTCACGTTTTCACAGTCAGAAGATCGCCTTGCACTTCTGGCGTCAGAGCGAGAACTTCACCATTCATCTGTAGAGGATGAACCAGAGACCAAACTACTAAGCTAAGTATAAACTAGTCCACTCCCTCAGTCTAAAAAAAAAAAATGAAGGCACAGGCTTCTATGGCTCTCAAAGAAATTATACACAAATTTAGAACTGTTCTGCGCTCCCCAAGTAATTCTGATGATGTGGGACCTGGGGCAAATGACATTTGTTTTCGAACCTGTCATTCAAAGTCTGCACCAAGATACTCGTCCTCTTTGGGGGGGCCACTGGCTTGCTCCAGGTGTCTTCTGATTCCCTGTTGTATAATTTTCAGTGGGCTCTGTAGTTCAATAGTAAGAAAAGGCCATTTCACTAAATGGAGACCCATCACTTTTCTAAGGAAGGTGATTCATGAGTGAGGAAAGTGGGCAAAGGGGTCTTCAGAAGAGAAATAGCGATTTCCTAGGTCTTGCACATACGTTTGGTCCTCTCATGCCTCAGAGATAAAGGAGTGTTACCGAGGATTTCTGATCCTAAGCACATGTCCAGCACACACGCACACACAAAAACTATGTGTAACAAAATGAACATTAGCAGCTACCAAAAGCTAGCTGTTACCACATTAAGAAGGCCATTTCCTTTTAGTTCCCCGATCAGCACAAACTGCTGCTTCCAAGTTTATGACACCTGCAGGCACATACACACTCGTTCCAGCAACCTCCGGGTGCGACCGTGGCCATATTGCCAGGCCCAACTTCCATGTGGATGGGCTGGGCAGCACCAGCTCCAGGGCTACTGTGAGCGGATGCGTCTGGGTTGAAACCAACTGATAACTGCACAAACAGCAGCTTTGTGTGCCTGAATCGTATAGTAAGGTGGTTCCCTTGTGTAGCTTGAAGACTTTTTTAACAGTGATTTCTGAGGCTTTTCATTTATCTGGGATCAAAGAGTTTTCATCACTTTTTCAGATCAAAACTGTTGTAAATTCTTTGTGGTGGAGCTCAGTATGCCCCTATTTATCCGTGTTATTTATGCTCTGGCTCTTCGCTTTTGGCTGGTAATAATGAGTACGTTTGTTTTAAACGCTTTCTTGTACGAGCTGTTAATTGCTGCTGTCACTAAACTCCAAAGAGTTTCATTTTGGCTGTAGGATCTCATGGCCCTTTCATGCATCATGAGAGCTTTAGATGGTCCTGTTGATTTACAGCTTTGTATGCGTTGCCATTCTGCTGGTCTCTTCTCATCCTCTCATCCTGTTGATACCACCCCACCCCCTTGCGCTGATCAGCGTTCGTGCTGTTGTCTGTCTGGTAGGGACTGAATGGCCTGATGTTGGAGTTAGGTTCTTCCTGGGGATTACATGGCTATGAATGTATTTGCTTCCAAAGTGAATCTAATCTTGAAACTATAAATTGTAAGTATTCTGAAATTGGGAAACATTTATTTTAAATGAAATCAGGTAGTGTTGCTTTTTACGCATAATAAATACATGTATCAAAAAAATTGTGTGGAAAAATGAATCTTCTTGCAAAGTTTTCTCTTTTGCCACTGGGTTGGGAAACTGCTAAACACAGGTACTTTGTCCAGATGGTTCAAACACACTTTTTTTTCCTTTTTATGACCCTGGAGGTCAAACCAGTGGCACTCCAGCACAGAGCTACATTCCTAGTCCTTTCCTTTTTTTTTTTGAAACAGGGTGCTGTTAAGTTGCCAAGGCTGGACTGAAATTTGTAATCCTCCTGCCTCAGCGTCAGAGTTGCTGGGATTATAAGCACTGCCACCCCCACTTCTCAGACCCATTCCTGATGTCTGCTCAGAGCAGGAATCCCACCATGACCAAGAGGAGAATCCTATGAGGGGTTTCTTTTGGAGAGGAGGGGGTGGGAGACACGATTCCAGTCCTCTGTCCCACAGTTTGGAAGTGCTTTCAGAGTAGGTAAACGCTTGTCTAACTGAACCACTGAACATTTTCTTGAAAGAGAAGAAAGGTGGTTTTCACAAAGCTTTGAGATCTGCATGGAGAACTGATCCAGGCAGCCTTGCCAGGACCTGAGCTGGGCCAGCTGGTGAATCAGAGCTTGTGCCCAGCTCCTCCTGTGTGGGGACCACTGGTGTCCTTTCAGGGCTCAGGGTGGGTGAACCCCATGCCTTCATGTAGCAAGGTTCTTTCTCACAGACAAAGGAGCTTGGACATAGGAGCCACAGTGTTGCGCAGTCTTCATTACTGATGTTTTAGGAACAGAAGAGACAGTTACCAGAGATTCCCTTATCTAACCAACTCTTCTGGTGAGCTGGGGCCCAAGAGCAGGCCACCTTACAGAACCCTTGGTCCCAGGCGTGCCTTTACACCCTGCAACACAGCTCACACACCGTACGGGCAGAACATGCATTGAACTTACTTAGGCCACCTGAGGTGGCCTTTTTCACAGTACTGGGTATTGAGCCTAGAGCCTTCACACTGACCTGCTTCCTCAGCCCTTTCTAAATCTTTAAATATTTTTTAGGACAGAGTCTTGCTAAATTGCTAAGTTGCTTGGGCTGGGCTCGAACTTGGCATCCTCCTGCCTCAGTCTCCCACACGCTGCGATTACAGGCGTGTGCCCCTGAGCCTGTCTCTGCTGAGTTTCGAGGACAGGCATAAGTGTGCAGTGTTACATCCCGACCATGGCCAGGCCCAGCCGAGTATGTACACATACACACACAGGGACACGTGACAGGAGCACAACAGACACCAGGGTGACCCGGCCGTGCAAAGCTGGATTTGTTGCTTATGTAAAAAGAGCATTTTATTTTTGCGGGATTTTTTGAGGATGGGGATAACCTTTCTAATTTTACTTGATACATCCTTACAGTATAATTCATAGGTCATAGTAAATTCATAAATCTTATAGTAGGTAGCAGTTAAAACATGGCCTTTAGGGGAAGGTGATTTTACAGTTATGTCTGGAAGGGATATCGTTTACCAGAGAGTCAAGCTGCGTGTTTTCAGAAGAGATGGTTTAGAAAATTAAGGAAGTTATTCAAAACAGGAGTGAGATCAGGTAAAACAACTGGATGGAAAGACAATGAAGGTAGAGGTTGGGGATTTTATTTCTATTCCTAAGCCTAAGCCCTGCTCCAAGTCTGTGTGAAGAAGGCCATGCCCCTCACTGCCTCTCCAAACGGTCAATGAAAAGCCTACTCCGAAGTCAGCCAGCCAGGCAGGCAGGCAGGCAAGACATCACGAAGCAGGGAAGGCCGAGTTTCAAGAAACTTAGAAGAACTCGGGTCTGCTGGTGGGCTGACGGCACTCTGCACTGCAGGCAGCTCGGGGTCTTGCATACTCAAATAAGTACGGTTCCCGACACATCAAAGAGTTTCATTTCTTAGTGAGTATAACACCTCACCTGGAGTCAGTTCACCAAAACCTGCGGGTACTGGGAATCACTATCACTTAGGGCTCTAAAAACAATTCTGATCATCTTTAGCCACAAAATCTTAAGCTTTAATAGGTTAGGTGACTGCACTAGAATCTCTGACCCAGTAGCTTACAACTTAGGATCCCAAGAGCAGAGTCCTTGTTTTGTTGACCAGCGTTTCCCAAACATCTAGCCAGCACCTGGCTTGTGGCAGCTCAGTGTACATGTGTCTGATGGGTTAATAAGTGAATGAGTCTTGACCCCAAGATGCTACCAGTAAATAACGCTTTACTTTGGGAACAGTACCTCATTTAAATGGTTAGCTACTAGAATTTTCAAAATGCTGTAGCTTTTTGCTGTCCTTCCGCTGGGACAATCAGATGCGACAGA